TGATTAGCTGGGCATAGTGGTGCATACCTGTAGTCCTAGCTACTCGGGAGGAAGAAGTGGGGGGATCACTTGAGATCATGAGGTTGAGGCTGCTGTGAGCTGTGATGGTGCCACTGCATTCCAGTGTGGGTGACAGAGTGAGACTCTGTCTCAAAAAAAAAAAAAAAAAAAATCTGCTCTGTGTGGGAGTATTGCAAAAGACATATCAGATGAAAGACTGTTATCCGAAATATGCAAAGAACCCCTAAAACTCAACAATAAGAATACAGAAAGCCCATTTTAAAAATGGGCCAAGCCCTTCACAGGCACCTCAAGAAAGAAGATATACAGATGCCAGGTTAACATATGAGAGGGTGATCCACATCACATATCATCAGGGAAATGCAAGTTAAAACAATGAGATACCACCCTGGTATCTTTGGCCAAAATCTACCTATTATTCGCCATTTCTACCTATCTTTGGCCATTTCTACCTATTAGAAATGGCGAAAATCCAGAACACTGACCAAACCAAATGCTGGCAAAGACATGAAACATCCTCATTCATTATTGATGGAAAGGCAAAATGATACAGCCACCTTGGAAGAGCGTTTGGCAGTTTCCCATGCAACTAAACATAGGCTTACCATACAATCCAGCAGTCATGTTCTTTGGTATTTATCCAAACAAATTATAAACTTCTGTCCACATAAAAACCTGCACGTGGATGTTTATAGCATCTTTATTTATAATTGCCCAATTGGGAAGCAACCAAGATGTTTTTCAGTAGGTGGATGGATATATAAATGATGGCTCATCCAGAGAGTGGACATTATTCAATTCTAAAAAGAAATGAGCTATCAGTCTATGAAAAGACATGGAGGAAACCAAATGCATCCTAACTAAATGAGAGATGCCAATCGTAAAAGGCTACATAATGCATGATTTCTACTATATGACATCTGGGAACAGGAAAAAACTATCAACACAAAGAAAGTATCAGTGGTTTCCTGGGGATGGGGAGGAGGGAGGGGTGAATAGGCAGAGCACAGAGGATTTTTAGGGCAATGAAATGAGTCTGTATGATACTGTAATGGTGAATACAGGTCATTATACATGTGTCCAAACCCACTGTATTAGTCTGTTTTCATACTGCTAGAAAGAACTGCCTGAGACTGGGTAATTGAGAAAGGAAAGAGGTTTAATTGACTCAGAGTTCAGCATGGCTCGGGAGGCCTCAGGAAACTTGCAGTCATGGCAGAAGGCGAAGGGAAAGAAGCCACCTTCTTCACAAGACAGCAGGAAGCAGAATTGCCCAGCGAAGGGGGAAGAGCCCCTTATAAAACCATCAAGATCTCATGAGAACTCAGTCACTACCACAAGACCATCATGAAACTGCCCCAGTAATTCAATTACCTCCACCTGCTGTCTTCTTTGACACGTGGGGATGATGAGGATTACAATTCAAGATGAGATCTGGGTGGGGATGGAAAGCCTAACCATATCACCCACTGAATGTAAAACACCAAGAATGAACCCTAATGGAAACTGTGGGCTTTGGATTAATGATGTATCTATGTAGGTCTAGCAACTGTGAGAAATGTATTACTCTGGTGGGGGATATTGATAATGAGAGGAGTTGTGCATGCGTGGAGGCAGTGGGTTTATGGGAAATCTCTGTATTTTCTTCCCAATTTGCTGTGAAGCTAAAATTGCCCTAAAAAATAAACTCTAGGCCAGGCACGGTGGCTCATGCCTATAATCCTAGCACTTTAGGAGGGCAAGGCAGGAGGATTGCTTGAGCTCAGGAGTTCAAGACCAGCCTGGGTGACTTGGTGAAACACTGTCTTTACAAAAAATACAAAAATTAGCTGGGCATGGTGGCACAAGCCTGCAGTCTCAGCTACTCAAGAGGCTGAGGTGGGAGAACCACCTAAGCCTGGGAAGTCAAGGCTGCAATGAGCCGTCACTCCAGCCTAGGTGACAGAATGAAACCCTGTCTCAATCAATCAACCAATCAATCAATAAACACTCTGCTAATAAAATAATGAGGCAGCCCCTTATGTACTAATATGATACTATTTTTGTATCTTATTGCTTGGAATTTACCCACATCTGACTGGAAGGATGACTGAGAAAATGATTATTTTAGCTAAATGAATTGCTGCCCACATTTGTTAATAAAGTAGGGGGAAGAATATTGGGTAGGCAGCTGCCAGTCTCCAGGGGAGCTTACACCTTTGGATACTCAACATTCTCTACACTCTTCTCCCCAAACAGAAAAAGTGCTCTTGTTCTTCCTATGGGCACTATCCCCAGAGTTTTATTTTGGACTTCCAGATTCAAGCAAGTCTAGAAATGTTTATTGGTGGCGAATGTCCCATAAACACCAAGAATCCTCAGCTTCTGAAGACCCCAATATTCAAGGGTGCAATGGGAACTGAGAATCCACAGTGACAACTTCCAGTGAAGAAAAGAAAAATGGGGAGGATGCAGCAGGCCCTGTTCCACTGCAATTAACCAAGGCCAGTGGGAAGGAAAGTAAGACTCCTCTCTCCTGGCAGTGGAGGAAGGCTGTCAATTAGCTAATCCAGAAGCCCTAATTCTCCTGTCTCAAGGTCATATGCTGTGCTTGGTTCCTGGTTTTTCCTTCTTGCATTTTCTCCTTGTTCTTTATTTTCTTTGACCACAACTTAGTTGGGCATTAAAGGGTATACTTTTCTTAGGAACTGGAAAGCATTTATAGGAGTCAAGAATGCAAATGAAAGCCGGGCGCGGTGGCTCAAGCCTGTAATCCCAGCACTTTGGGAGGCCGAGACGGGCGGATCACAAGGTCAGGAGATCGAGACCATCCTGGCTAAAACAGTGAAACCCCATCTCTACTAAAAAATACAAAAAACTAGACGGGCGCGGTGGCGGGCGCCTGTAGTCCCAGCTACTCGGGAGGCTGAGGCAGGAGAATGGCGTGAACCTGGGAGGTGGAGCTTGCAGTGAGCCGAGATCCCGCCACTGCACTCCAGCCTGGGCAACAGAGCGAGACTCCGTCTCAAAAAAAAAAAAAAAAAAGAATGCAAATGAACTAAGTAAACTTCTCTGCTTTGGAAATGTTGGAAATGCAAATAACTTTAATGGAAACAGGAGGGAAAACGAGAGGAAATGTGACTGAGTAAAAACAGTGGAGTGAGTGAGGACGCTGATAACAGGACTGCCTCATATTCGCGTAGAGTTGTGTCTTTTGCTAGCGCATCCGGAAGGTATGTTCCGCACCGAAGGACCATTTCTAAGTGGTTATTTCCTGAAAGCAAAGTAAAGGGCTGAGTACTCTTGTGGATTGATTTCAAAACAAAGGCGTGAGGCAACAGTTAGCAACGGTACTTTCCTTAAAGCAGAAGCTCAAAACCAGAAATTCATAAAAAAGTAAACCACATGAGAATTTCTAAATATTGTGTGCTTGAGGATGGGTGTTTACTGGACATGGTCTGGTTCGTGTAATGAGGATTGGAGATAATTTTGATTTGATATGAAAAGCTCTCACTTGACACCTAGGTGATACTATTGTTTATTGATTCATTTATTCAATGAATATTTAATGAATGTCTGTTACGTATCAGACAGTATTTTAAACATAGAGGATGAGGTTCAATCAGCAAACCATACAGACCAAAATCCCTGACTTCAGAGAGCTTACATTTTCATTGTTTAAAAGAAATCATACCTCCAAAGGCTGTGCTCTAGGATAATAACAAGAAGAAGAAGAACAAAAATCAGAAATCAATCAATAAATAAAAGAAAGCATTTCAAGTTTGATGCTTTTTTTTTTTCAGACAAAGTCTCACTCTTGTTCCCCAGGCTGGAGTGCAATGGCACAATCTTGGCTCACTGCAACCTCCACCTCCTGGGTTCAAACAATTCTCCTGTCTCAGCCTCCCAAGTAGCTGGGATTACAGGTGTGTACCACCACCATGCCTGGCTAATTTTTGTATTTTAAGTAGAACCGGGGTTTTACCATGGTGGCCAGGCTGGTCTCGAACTCCTGACCTCAGGTGATCCGCCTGCCTCAGCCTCCCAAAGTGCTGGGATTACAGGCATGAGCCACCGCGCCCGGCCAAGTTTCATACTGTTTTATAACTTTTAAACAGTTATTATACTATTTCATGCTGATGAGTTTGACAGTTTGAATGAAATGGCCAAATTCCTTAAAACTCACAGTTTACCAAAACTGACAGATAGGAAAAAACAAAAAACAAAAAAACAGAAGAGTCTAATGACTGTTAAAGAAAACAAACCTGTTATTAAAAATCTTCCCAGAAAGAAAACACAAGACCAAGTTGGCTTCACTGGTGAGTTTTTCTGAATATTTAATGAAGACATAACATCAGAAAACAGAATCAGAGGAATTACTTCTCAATTCCTTTTAAGAGACCATTACAAGTTTGATGTAAAACTTAGCAAGGACAGTAGAAAAAGTGAAATAACAGAACCATTTTTATATAAACATAAACACAGAAATTCTAACCAACTCTTGTGAGATATAAATATTTAAAGTATATCAGGACTAAGTGTGGTTTATTCCAGGAATTCAAGAGTAGTTTAACATTCAGAACTTAATGAACATTATTTATGATGATTTACATAAAAGAAGAAGAAGAATATGACCAACTTAATACATGTAGAAACTGCATTTGATAAAATACAACGTCCATTCACGATGTAAGAAAAAGAAACAGAAAACTCTTAGCAAACTAAAAATAGAAGAAAACTTCCATAGTCTGATTTTTAAAAATAGCTATAAAAAACCTACAGCAAACATTCTACTTTGTACTTTAAAGTCTTCCCCTTATTATGCGCTATCTCATCTAAGTCTTACAAATCCCCACCACTCTTTCTCTTCTGTTTCCCGCCTCCACTTACCCGGGTATAGGCAGAAGTCAAAAAAACCAAAAATAACACTAATATTATAGTAGCCTGACTGTCTATTTCTTAGCCCCAAATCGGGGACACAAAAGCATTTTTCCTGAATAAATACTTGAACTGTGCATCCTTGAATGCCTCAATATGACTCAAAGGTAGATCAAGCTGGAACTGGCATTAGGGTAGGATCAACAGAACTCAAAATAACCCTGACCCCATCCTCACATTGCCTGTAACTCAGTCTCTGCAGGAGGTGAAGCAGAATTGGCAGCCGTGTCATTGGTTGGGGCTGAGTCCTCAGACAGGGCCCTCTCCAGACTGGTGGGCAGGGAGTGGATCAGTCTCTCTCGGAAGTCCTGGCCCACAAAGACATAGAGCATGGGGTTGAGGCAGCTGTTGAAGAAGGCGAGGGAGCTCGTTGGGTTAACCAGGATATCAATGATTTTGTACTTGCCCTCGAACAACATCTCTTTGAGCCAGACAGTGCTCAGAAGGGCAACCAGTTGAAAGGGGAACCAACAAATGAAGAAAGAAGCCACCACAGCAGTGAGGACCCGTAAGGGACGGCTGGATTTAATCATGCCCTTTTTGTGGATCTTGGCTGCAATGAGCCCATAGCAGATGGCAACAATGGCCATCGGCGTGCTAAAGCCAATGACAAACCGGATGATCCCTCTGGCTGTCAGCATGGTAATGGCTACATTCTTCCTCTTCTCAGGGGTGTCACCCCAGGATGCAAAGTTGAAAGTACAGTACGTGTCCCCATTTGGAATAGTTACTGTAGTCAAAAAGAGGAAAACTGGCAAGGTAAGGACTAGGGCAAGAATCCAAGGTCCGATGATCACCTTCATGGCCAGACTCACGGTGCGGTGGTTCTGGGCCCAGACTGGATGCAGGACACAAATGCAGCGGTCCAGTGCAATGAAACCAATCAAGAAGACACTTCCAAAGAGGTTGATGTCCACCACGATGTGAATTAACTTACACAGGAACCAGCCAAAAGGCCATTTTTCTCCCATGGCCATAGAGACAATGAGGAATGGTAATGTGGCCGTGAAAGAAAAGTCAGCCAGGGCCAGGTTCAGGTAACAGATGGTGGTGACTGTGCGTGTCATCCGGAATCCAGCCACCCAGATCACAAGCCCATTGCCCAGGACCCCGAGGACAAAGGTGACCCCAAGCACCACCAACGGGAGGATCTGCAGAACAGTGTAGCCAGCAGACTCATAGGACGCTTCTTCATGCTCATTCAGAGGAGTGGAGAGGTTGGTTTCCATCTTGCCCGCACCTGAAACATTCCAAAAATGGCCATTTCTCAGCTGTGGAACCATCTTACAGCATCTGTATTTATAGCTCACATCAACTTCCACTAAATCTCCCACTCCTACCAGGAGACCCACTCTATCTACTAAGCCTTGTTGACAATGGTGCTATGGAATTGGCATTCTCCTGGATGCTCCTTTGGGAAGGGATAGTCCTCCATATTCCCATCATTATCAATATGCACTTCACTTATCGGGCTGATCACTTCACCAAGAGGATTACAAGGCTCTGTCCACCAGCAAAAATACTGATCTTATGTTGTACGGACAATGGAAAATCGAGCATAGGCAGCCTCAGCATTGTGAGGAAGGCATAAGACTCAGAGTCAGAAGGTTCACATCTGTATCTCCCATCACTCAATGCAAACATGCTGGCAAGCTCTGCAACCTCTTTCAGCCCCAGGTTCTTCCAGTCTCCCAACTCCTGACCCTCACAGATGTGAGAACCCTTGACCTATTGCTTGGCTAGTACTCAAGATAAAGTTGAAGGGTTTGGCTTGAGGTTATTGTTGAAGAGAATCTTGAGAAGTCACCGGTAATATGTAGTAGTATGTTATATCCTGAGGATTCTGCACTAGAGGAAGTCAGCAAAGAGAGTTCTATCTCTACTTTCTACCCTCTGCTTTTTCCTGTCCCTGCTTGATGTGGAGCTCATCTCTGGAATGCAAATAATCAGTACCGATTTGTATAGCTTTGGTGTCTGTGGGATACAGACTATGAGAATAATAAGCCATATTAATACTTGTAATAGAGACTATGCATTGTGTTAATTACTACATATGGGATCCAGTTTGGCTTACGTAATAGCTGTGTAATATTCATTACTTCTAGTTTTCATTAGAAGAAATTAAAGCTCAGGGCAATTGTGAAATGTGTTGAAGGTCACTTAGGTAGTAGATAATAGATTAAGGACTTCAGTTCAGCTTGGTCTGACTTCCAAACCCTTACTCTTGACAGATATTGCTGGTTGCCCACCCAGCAACTGTTCCCCATTCTTCTCTGCCCAAAAAACCACAATCGTGTGTTTAGTTACTCACCCTGAAGAGAAGGTGTCCTTTCTCCATGTTGGGAGTACATCTTGACTAGTTTAATTAACACTAACGAGAATTCCTTTTACTTTGCAAGGGATTGCTTTAGCAGTGGACATGTGACTGAGTTGTGGACAATAACATTGTAAGAATATAACCTGCAGAACTTCTCAGATCAAGTTTTGTTGTTTTTTTTTCTCTTTTAAGAACAAAAATCCAAAACATGTAGTGCCTGCCTCTGGTCCGGGTCACATCTGTAATTTTTGTATCCAATTCAACACAAAGTCCCATGCCACTTGAGCACATTTTCTTGTTGTTTTTTTGTTTTTTTGTTTTTTTTCCTTGAAACAGAGTCTCACTCTGTGGCCCAGGCTGGAGTGCAGTGGCACGATCTTGGCTCACTGCAAGCTCCGCCTCCCGGGTTCATGCCATTCTCCTGCCTCAGCCTCCTGAGTAGCTGGGACTACAGGTGCCCGCCACCATGCCCGGCTAATTTTTTGTACTTTTTTTTTTTAGTAGAGACGGGGTTTCACCGTGTTAGCCAGGATGGTCTCGATCTCCTGACCTCCTGATCCGCCTGCCTCGGCCTCCCAAAGTGCTGGGATTACAGGCGTGAGCCACCGCGCCCGGCCCACTTGAGCACATTTTCTTATGCTGTGGTCGGTGGACTTTACCAGAAACATCCAGGCTGCCTGTTAAAATTGTATTCATTATCCTTAGCAAACTAATACAGGAACAGAAAACCACATACCACATGTTCTCGCTTATAAATGAGAGGTAAATGATGAGAACACATGGATGCAAAGAGGAAAACACTGGGGCCTACCAGAAGGTGGAGGGTGGGAAGAGGGACAGGATCAGGAAAAATAAGTAGTGGGTATTAGGCTTAATACCTCAGTGATGAAATGATCTGTACAATAAACCACCAGGATACAAGTTTCCCTATATAACAAACCTGCACATAAACCCCTGAACTTACAAAGAAAATGAAAAACAATTATATCCATAAATCTCACTCTAGAATCTGTTTGTATAAAAGCCAGGATGATTTGTTATGGCCATGAGAATCTGAGAATCAGCTCAGACTGGGCTATTCAGCATCTTTAAGAGAAATAGCAATTCCCTAGCACTTGTTCATATCTAATGCTCATAACATTGTGAAACAGCCGTCACATCCGAGGGAATTCGTGGCCTGGGGACTCCTGTAGTTTTTCAGCATCATGCCCAGCCAGTCAGTGGAGGCAGCAAGATATGGAAACCAAGATGAACAACTCCAGAGCCACTGCCTTTGCATACGGAAGTCCTGCCTTTGAAAGGGGTCCCCCAAGATTACTAGGATAGGGCTATGCCCCAGTCTGATGATTTTTAGCCTTCCTCCTTTCACTTAGTTCCCTCTTTCCTCCTGCTATTACCAGTGAGTTTCACTGAGGTCTTCTTCCATGGGACATTATTTAATGTAGCTCAGGGTTTCTCAACCGTGGCACCATTGACATGTGGGTCTGGGTAATTCTTTGTTGTGGCGGACCGTTCTGGACACAGTAGGATGTTTAGCAGCACCCCGGCCTCTATCCACAGATACCAGTAGCAACTCCTTCTCCAGAAATAACAATCAACAGGTTCCATAAACATTGTCAAAGGTCCCCTCAGAGGCAAAGTCACCCCCAACTGAGAGTCACTGTTATAAAGAATACTGGGCTCGGCCGAGTGCAGTGGTTCACGCCAGTAACCCCAACACTTTGGGAGGCCAGGGAGGGCGGATTGCCTGAGGTCAGGAGTTCCAGACCACCCTGGGCAATATGGTGAAGCCCCGTCTCTACTGAAAATACAAAAAATTAGCCAGGCCTGGTGGCGGGCGCCTGTAGTCCCAGCTACTTGGGAGGCTAAGGCAGGAGAATCGCTTGAACCTGGGAGGCGGAGGTTGCAGTGAGCCGTGCCACTGCACTCCAGCCTGGGAGACAGAGCGAGACTCTGTCTTAAAAAAAAAAAAAAAATTACTGGACTCTGGAGTCAGCTAGATCTCTCTTCTAATCTCATCTGTGATGTCTCCTCACTATGAGTTCTTAGTGATATCTCTTTAAGCCTCAGTTTTCTGCTCTGCAGAACGAGGACAATTTTATGGTGAAGTCTGACTTTCGGGTGAAGATTAAGTGAGAATAGACATGGAAATCTTTTAGGCTAGACTGAGTACATCTATGACACATGGGAACTCTTGGCCCTCACCAGGCTGTGTGCTGTGTCCTGGGGCTCAATCCATTATGAAGCTCAAGGTCAGGACAAGAACGATGCTCAGAGCAATAGTTGCTTCTACGTATGAACATTATCCACACGCCAAGAGCTTCTCCTTTAGCCGTAACGACGCCTCTCACAGGATGTGTGGTTGGGCTGTGTTAACATGTGTAAGCACTGAGCACACCCTGAGACACGGTGAATATTGACTAATCTTAGTGATATTAGGTTGGTGCAAAAGTAACTGCGGCTTTTGCCGTTGAAAATAATAGCAAATACAGCAATTACTTTTGCAGCAACCTAATAATTAGTATAACCATTGTACAGACAAGGAAGTTAAGATGGGCTTAGATGGGCTATGTTAATTGTTCAACGTTCCCAGGTAGAAAGAGGTAGAGCCAGAATTGGAGCTCAGCCAGACTGATTACAACAGAATTGTGCTGTGAACCCTTTTCCACCCCATAGTTCCTCAACAGACTCAGATTTTCTCTATCCACCCTCCAAACATTCTACGAGGCACTTAGAAGACATGATCTATCCATAATCTCAAATTCATTTTAAAATGTTGATACAGGCTGGGCGTGGTGGCTCACACCTGTAATCCTAGCACTTTGGGAGGCCAAGACAGGTGGATCACTTGAGGTCACGAGTTCGAAACCAGCCTGGCCAACATGGTGAAACCCTGCCTCTACTAAAAATACGAAAATTAGCTGGGCATGGTGGCGGGTGCCTGTAATCCCAGCTACTTGGGGGGCTGAGGCAGGAGAATCACTTGAGTCCGGGAGGTAGAGGTTGCAGTGAGCCCAGATTGTGCCACTGTACTCCAGCCTGGGCAAAAGAGCGAGACTCCGTCTCAAAAAAACAACAAAAAAAATGTTGATACAACAAGGAAGGATGATTATGAAATGACAGGTGGGGATAGATTAACAAGGCAAAAATTGCAAAGTTTTAGGTCCACCCTAGTTGTAACATAAGGAGAAGAACCGTGAACCACAGGTGATACCTGTACTGATTATGAGGGCTACTATTTGGTGAGTCCTTAATATGTGCCAGTCACTGTATATTTTATCATCTCTGATTACAACATCCTTGCTTTGGGACAAGTGCCGTCCTTGCATAATATGTAGGGAAGTACGGCTCAGAGAGGGGAAGTGACTTGCACGATTATTGAGGGTTGCAATTGAATTTATGACCATAGATGTCAAATGAAAACTCAGCGGTTCCTCATTAGGTTACTCTACTTCTCCAGCGCGCTTGCTATCCCACACCTTAATTATTTCAGTCCTGCTTTCTCCAAAAAATACCTCATTTACTGTGTTTTTCCCACTCCTAGCAGATGCCGTTGACTGACATTATAATGAGAAAATGGTAATAACTAGATGTGAAATTTTCAACCTTTTCTCCCCTGACCCTCAGTCTACCTGCCCCTGTCACTGTGAATAAAGACTTCTTGTTCTTTCCAATAATTTCCTTCCCTACATGGGCCGGGGATGCCCTCTCACCTTCCCACAAACCTTCCCCCTGCATTTGTCCTTCCATTTTCTGCCAAAACCGAACCCTCAAGATTTTATTTCTACTAGATCATTCTCACTATGACATAAACATTATCCTATCCCCTCCCTATAAAAAGAAACTATTCTTGGCTGGGTGCAGTGGCTCACGCCTGTAATCCCACCATTTAGGGAGGTTGAGGCAAGTGGATCACTTGAGGCCAGGAGTTTGAGACCAGACTGGCCAACATGGTGAAATCCCATCTCTACTAAAAATACAAAAATTAGCCGGGTGTGATGGCGCACACTGGTAATCCCAGCTATTTGGGAGGCTGAGGCAGGAAGACCTCTTGAACCCTTGAAGGCGGAAGTTGCAGTGAGCTGAGATCGCACCACTGCCCTCCAGCATGGGCGACAGTGAGTCTGTCTCAAAAACAAACAAAAAAATAAAACAAAACAAAACAAAAACAAAATAAAAACCATCCCCAAAAAACAACTGTTGGGAGCAAACCCCCCCAAAAAACTGGCCATAAACAAAATCTCTGCAGCACTATGGCATGTCCATAATGGCCCTAATGCCCAAGCTGGAAAGTTGTGGGTTTATGGGAATGAGGACAAGGAACACCTGGCCCCCCCCAGGGCGGAAAACCGTTTAAGGCATTCTTAAGCCACAAACAATTAGCATGAGCGAACTGTGTCTTAACGGGGTGTTCCTGCTGCAGTTAACTAGCCCAACCTATTCATTTAATTCAGCCCATCCCTTCGTTTCCCATAAGGGATACTTTTAGTTAATTTAGTATCTATAGGAACAATGCTAATGACTGGTTTGCTGTTAATAAATATGTGAGTAAATCTCTGCTCGGGGCTCTCAGCTCTGAAGACTGTGAGACCCCTGATTTCCCACTTCACACCTCTATATTTCTGTGTGTGTGTCTTTAATTCCTCTAGCGCTGCTGGGTTAGGATCTCCCTGACCAAGCTGGTCTCGGCAAACAACCAAAAAGATCCTTGGACTATATTCCTCTCCGGTGTTAACCCTATTTCTCCTAAGAGAATTCTTTCTGTGAAAAGAATTTGCAGCCAGATTTTGGAAGGAGTTGTCTGTGTTTGCTCCCTTAGACTCCTTGCTTCACTTTTTCTCCTGAGTCCAGTCTGTATTGACTCCAGCCCTTGGCACTGACCCATGGTGCATTTTCCTGAGGATGCTTATGACCTCAAGGCTGCAAATGCAGTGGCTGCAAATCCATCTTGGTTCTTATCTCAATATCTTCGTGATATAGAACCCATTGGATCTCTTCCTTCTCCTTAAATCACGTTTTTCCTGTGCCATGAGATGATAAATGTACACACAACACACTTTCACTTGCCTTTAAATCTCAGTTGGCCATCTCTTTTCAGTCCCCTTTGCTAGTATTTTCTGCTCTAAGTTTGACTCTAAATTTAGGAGTATCCTGCAGCTTTTACTTGTTCCCCACCTCTTTTATCTCTATATAGTCTTTCTACAGGTGATATTATCCAGTTTCAGGGCTTAAAATATCATGCTGTCTTTTCATCTAAATTATCAGCCTTGGCTTCTCTCTGGTGCTCCAGTCTGATATAACCTCTCCCCACGGGAGTCCCATAGACACTCCAAACCTAACGTGGCTCAACCAAACAGTTGATTGTCTCATCCTCCCAAACCTGCCACTCTTCCAATATTTTGTGTCTATTTGAGTTTAAACATTCAGTTGTTAAAGCTTCCAAACTAGAACTTATCTTTCATTTTCCTTTCTCTCACCACAATGCCATCCAAGTCCTATTAATTCTATCTGCAGAACCTGCTGAATGCACAACCAGAGCCATCTCCATCTCCACAACCTGTGTCCATGGTCCTGTCAGGCAGGAATGTTTGCACCAACTTTGCAAATAGCTTGTTCCTGGTCCTGCTTTTCCCTGCCCTACAATCCAATCTCCAGAAGAAAACCAAATGAGCTTTTTAAAAGTTCAGAAAGGGCCAGGCACAGTGGCTTACTCCTGTAATCCCAGCACTTTGGGAGTTCGAGGCAGGCGGGTCACCGGAGGTCGGGAGTTCGAGACCAACCTGGCCAACATGAAGAAACCCCATCTCTACTAAAAATACAAAAGTAGCCAGGCGTGGTAGCACATGCCTGTAATTCCAGCTGCTCGGAGGCTGAGGCAGGAGAATCGCTTGCACGAGGGAGGCGGAGATTGCAGTGAGCCCAGATTGCACCATTGCACTCTAGCTTGGGCAAAAAGAGCAAAACTCTGTCTCAAAAA